AGTGGGTCCAGGGGCAAAGTGTTTACGTCCTGGATGGTTGCACCACTGGGATGGCCTCGGGTCTGGCAGAGCTCGCTGGGTCCGCTGCCTCCTGCTCTCTAGAGACCCCACGGCACAACCTACGTTAGGATGTGAGGGCCCCTGCAAGACTTGGCGAGAGGTTTCATATTTCTTGCAGGGTCAGACGAGGACGACAAAACCATGTTCTTCTGCGCCGTGTGCGGTGAGTCGGTGTGCGTACACCTCGTCTCCGTGGTACTGGCTAGGCAAGGAGTGTCAGCAGCATGAACTGCCTGGCGCTCCCACCACGCTTCGCCAGAACTATTCTGGCATGCTCCCGCACCTCGGTGAAAAAAACGCGGTGAGTGCGAGCTCGAGCCGAGGTGCGGTATATCTGCTACGCGTCCGGTCTGTCGCCACCTGCTAGTGTGAGTTTGCCCGTGTCCGAATCGAGTGGATTGGTCCAGACCGACGACATGATCGCACTGGCGGCGCCAGTCCAGCCCAGGGAGGCGGCTGCAATGCTAAGCTGACCCCCGCGATGACCAGTGACTGTAGAAAGCAGGTCAGCACCAGCGATGACATCGTTGTTATTTTCTCACGCTGGAGAAACGATTCAAGCAGTCAGGCCCGAAGGGAATCGCCGATGCAAAATATATTCCTATGTTGTAGACGCGAGAAAACAAGATATCAAACAAACAATCCCCTGGACAACCCAGACAACGCCTCCGAGATGGAGACACGAGTGCCCTAGCATGTATGCGTAGCCAACGCTTGAGCGAGAGCACCGTGTGGCCGGCGCACTGGAGAGAGCACCTTTTTCAATCAAGGATGTGGCTTGCGCTCAGGCGAGAGCGACACCCAGTGCTCGGGCGACAGCTCACTTCCCAATCGAGAGTGTAATCAGCGCAGAGGCGAAAGCACCACTCCCGTTCAGAGTTGCGAGGATGCTTCTGGCGAAACTGGCTGGACCACCTCAGGTCAGCCCAGAGTTGCGAGGATGTCTCAGGCGAAACTGGCTGGACGCTGAGGAATGAGGAGAAGGCTGAAGGCTGAAGAATGAGGAGGCCCAAGAGAGGGGGCTGGATAGGATTGCGCCTGGACAACCCCCGGACAACCCCCCGGACAACCCGATTGACAACCCCCCGGACAATCCCCTCGAGAATCCGACGTGCGGGGGAAACGCCCTGCATGTCCTTGAATTGGGGGTCGCCAGTGGCTCTCTTCTCTCGGACCACCTGAGTTCAGGGGAATCTCTGAGACCACGGTTGCGAGGACGGACCACCTCGTGGGCGGCATCTCCGAGCCCAGACTTGCGAGGATATCGCAGGCGAAACCAGCAGGAGCACCTCAGATCTAGGCATGCGTGAGCCCAGCGTTACGAGGATGTCTCAAGCGAAAGTGGCCAGACAACCTCCACTTTTTGAGCATGTCTTTGTGCGCTGGCCCCGCGGCTGGAACTAGCTCCTACACCTACAAGACTCCAGCCAGCCACGCCGCGTGGGGAACAACGACCAATGAGGATGTGCGAGCGGGCACGGGAAGACGCGAGAGAGGAGGAACGGACAAGAGGGGAAGGAGAAAAGAGAGGCGCTCTTTCCAGCTGGGTTTGACTGGCTGTGCCATGCTTCTGATGATATAGGTGATTACAGCATGTACGTGCGCTGGCAAACGGGCACGGCCCGGACAACCCCTTGGACAACCCGCGAGGAGCCGGACAACTCCCCCCAGACAACCCCCCCTGGACAACCCTCCCTGGATTTTTTTCCATACAACATAGTCGTACACCTCCTCCTCCTCCTCCCCCTCCTCCTCCTCCTCCGAGGCTGTTGCGCCCTTCATCCTTCTCCTCCTTCTCCTCCTCCTCCTCCTCTTCCTCCTCCTCTTCTTTGGCCTGCCCGCTGGATATAAGAAGGCAAGCACGTGAATCTCCAGACAACAATGGAAAGATTGCCCTGCCAGATGTTGACGTGATTCAATGCCCTCTTCAATGCGTCAGCCTCCTCCTTGGTGCGATTTCCGTATGGCGTGTTCAATCGATGGAGACCGTGCGGACCAGCCGTCGCCACTGGATCGCAGGAGCTGGCGTAGGCATCGATAACGGTACTGGCACAGTAACAGTGCGGGTATCAGTGCCAAATCTGCACGGACGTTGGTGCGGCGCTGGCGCTGCCGTTGGCGATGGCGACGGCGCTGGTGACGGTGCGGCACCACCTTTAGGTGTCGATGCTGGTGTTGGTACTGTTGCTGGTACTGATGTCGATGATGACGCGTTCGGTGCGGGCGCCTTAAGGGCAGCGTTGTCCCACTCCACGTCTCCTTACCTGGTCCTGACTGCATGGTGAGCGAGAGCTGGACTCTCTACCACCACCATCTCGCTGTGCAACGTCCCGTTCACCCGGGAAGACCATCGGTGGCATGTGCATGGACGTATACGCCGACGGTAAACCATCGTTGCGATATGTCTGGACGAATATGCCGATGGTAGTTCTGGTAAGCCGCGCCAGGTATCCAGGAGAGGACAGGGAGCAGGAGCCCTTTGAGCAAGAAAGGCCTACACACAGGTGTCACGGGAGCGAGCGGCGGTGGCACAATCGCCTCAACATCCTTATGCCCCACATCGTGACCAGATAATTTTCTCATCACCATCATCATCATAAATGAGAATCATCGCCATCGTTATCATCGTCTTCCTGGACGAGAGGATAAGAAGACGGACGAGGGGGGGAGGAGGGTAAGGGGGAGGGGCATGGGGAACAATGAGGAGGAGAAGGAAGACGAGCTCCCGCACTGGTGTTCGTAACCCTGGAGGGGCCCTGCGACGACGTCGAGCGTTTTCTCGGGCCACTGCGAAGGGGGCGGCAGCCAACGAAACTCGTCAAAGACACACACACTGGCACTTGCATCCAGCCTGTGACAGGCACTTGCTTGAAAGATATCCGCGGATCTGGCGTGTGAGTTTATAAGAGCGCGGGCTTGAGCTCGCTGAAGCTTCGCTCTGGACGGGGGGGCGGGGGGCGGGTTTCGCTCTGGAGGAGGAGGCCACGTGTTCCGTTTTCGGGGGGGGAGGGCGTGTTCTGTTTTCGGAGGGGGGGTCTGGTTTCGCTCGCTCTTGGGGGGGAGGGGGGGGGAAGCGTGTTCCGCTGTCGGGGGGGGAGAGCCCTGGAAGAAGGGGAAGGGGGGTGGCCGCATTCCGTTTTCGGAGAGGGTGGGCTGGGGCCAGGGCTGGGGCCGGGGCCGGGGCTCCCAAGCCCAACGACCCACCAACGAGCCGACCCGTCAGGGAACTATAGCCCGCCATGCTCGACAGACGGACACGACGCAACATCATTCCATTCAACACAAGGCAACTGGCAGCACCCTCCTTCCCCTCCTATTCCTCGTCCTCCTCCTCCTCCTCCTCCTCCTCCTCCTCCTCCTCCTCCTCCTCCTCCTCCTCCTCCTCCTCCTCATCATCATCATCATCATCATCATCATCATCATCATCATCATCATCATCATCATCATCATCACCACCGTCATCAACAGCAGCAACAACAACAACGACGACGACGACAACTACAACAACAACAACAACATCAGCAACAACAACAACATCATCATCAGCATCACCATCATCATCATCATCATCCTCATCATCAGCATCATCATCCTTATCCTCATTCTCATCCTCATCATCATCATCATCATCAGCATCATCATCGTCGTCATCATCATCATCATCATCAACCATCACCAATCATCAATCAACATCAGCAGCAGCATCATCAGTATCAGCATCAGCATCATCATCATCATTATCAGCATAATCATCATCAGCACCATCATCATAATCGTCATCAACATCAGCAGCAGCATCACTAGAATGATCGTCATCATCATCAGCATCAGCATCATCATGAGCATTAGCATTAGCATCATCAGCACCATCAGCATCCTCATCCTCATCTTCATCCTCATCCTCCTCCTCATCCTCATCATCATCATCATCCTCATCATCATTATCCGCAACATCCTCGTCATCCTCATCCTCATCCTCGTTGTCCTCATCCTCAGCCTCAGCCTCATCCTCATCCTCATCCTCACACGCATCCTCCCTCCTGCCTTCACGAGGTAGAGCTCTCAAACTATTGAACAGGATGACGAGTTCGCACGGAGCGTTCCGGAGCTCCCTGGATCGGCGGCACGGGTTTGAGGTCTCTACAAGATCGACGGCTGGCTGGCGCCGTAGTCCTGGTCCCAGTGGCCGGGTGAATAGCGTGCTCATCTCCGCATCTCTTGTCCGCGCGATCTAAAATCGAACGCGGAAAAAATCATGCGCGACGGCTCCAATTAACTAGAACGCACATGTCGGGGGACGTGCACTGAGAGGGCGGATATCCGACAAAGGAGAATCTTGGAATTGCACGACGGCCTGACAAGGAAAACTATGTGCAAAAAGAGGCGGGCAGATGCAACAGCATTACAGCCTTGTGCGACCGAACCTTCCATCACCGTCGAATCGAACCCGCCATATCGCATGCGCCATTCGAAAGGTGTGGCCGCATTCGCCACCACCAAGCACCTCTACTCCACTACCGGATGAGCGTAGGATCGCAATTCAGGCTCTGCTGATCGGCGTGCGCAGTGCTGCATGACGGAGGCAACGGGTCGTCGCCACCGCGCTCACTCGCAAGGCGCAAGGCGAGCGAGATGACTGTTGCAGCTCTCGGCCGCGCTGCTTCTCATGCTGTCTTTGTGCGTCAGACTCTTGGTCAAGATTTCCAGGGCCTCGTGGATCCAGACAAGCTCTCGGTGCAGCACGGCCAAGTCGATTCTCTTGGCCTCGTCCCGAACCTTCAGGCATCCCTTCATGAACTGCTGGGAGTTGAGGGTAATGGACTTGCTGCTGTCAAGCAACTGGAACAACCTGCTTATCTCAAAAAAAGAAAATATACCGAGACCGCGAATTCTCCTAGATAATTGTTGCCACCACGGCTGGAGTCTCCTCAAATTTCTAATCAGAATGCACCCACCAGGGCGGAGTCCACGCCACGCTGCCTGAAATAGGCACCGATCTCGGGGTCCTCCATGCGCCTCCCGAACTGATCCTGTATAATATCACCGACTTTAGAGTCATCAAGTTCGTCGAAAACCTTTTTCAGGGTGATGAGGTAGTCCCTCTTTTCGATGAGCTCGCTCTGCACCGCCATCCCACGGTCAGCGTTGCACCGTAGCATCGTGCTCTCAAACATCCACAACCATGCCGTCCGTAGGCACTGAGTCTGAGAGAGGGGTGCCCCTAGGTCCCTCGGAATCCTCAACACTGAATGTTGGAAATGCTCCCCAGGTAACTAGAGCGGAAATTTCCAGATTATTGAGCGCTCTCGCGCGCTCCATGGGCTTGGGTCGTGACTTTTCTTGAGGCCCTGGACGCGCTGATGGAAGCCCGCGCCTCCCACGTGTCCTAAGATGGCCGCGAGAGACCGTCCCATGGCTCTCTGGGGGGCCTTTTGAGGCCCTGGGGGCCAGCCCAAGAGACCAAAGTCATTGAATAGCCTTTGGGATTCGCATGATGCTCGCATCCTCGGTTTTCTGTCTTGAGCGCGTCCAAGACGGCCCAAGAAGCTCCCAAGATCGCTTAAGCCCCGCAGGGAGGCCCGAGTCCCCCAAGACGGCCCCAAGAGGGGTTCGATAGCAGGAACTCGAACGACATTTGGAGGCCTTGACCGCAAGATGGTTTCCGAGATCCCCAGCAGGCCCCCAACTGGCGCCCCAGAGGCCCCCAGAGGCCCAGAGGACCCCACTAGGCCCCCAGGAAACCCCCAAAAGGCTTCCAATGGCACCCAAGAGGGCTCCCCCGAGAGGCCCCTGGCCAACGACCCAGGCACTGGTGGTGGGCTCGGCCGAAGGCCACTCGATGACCGCGGTGGCGACGTTCATCAGGGCGATGAGGGAGAAGACGATGCACAGCAGGAGCACACCTCGAAATCCCCACCCGAGCGTGCCCAGCCTCTGCCAGGGCAGCTCCCAATCGACGCCGCCGGAGATCACCTGGAAGAGCGTCAGCACGGCGTCGAGCAGCGAGCCGAATCGTGCCCCCAGGGGCTCCAGTGACTCGTCCAGTGCCCCCGCCCTGGGCGGCCGGTCCCGCGTCAGGAAGGCGAGCGCTCCCTCGGACAGGACGGTGCCGAAGATGAGGAGGATCATGAAGACCAGCAGGCTGGACCATAACATGGCCTTGACCGCCACCGTGAGTGAAAGCATCACGATGCGAAGCTCCCTGAAGGAACGATGCTGGCTGATCACGCCGGTCACCACCACGAGTGACAGAACTCGGGCCAGGCGCAGTTTTGATTGCATCGCGAGTACAACCCTGAATCGCGAGTGGAACCCCTGGTGTTGGTGCAGGTTTTGGTCGATGGCTTATGTCAGCTGAACAATCACGAACACGACCTGGAACGCCTGCCAATCATTTCCAGCAGAATAGTCGGATTGAACCGGCCAGGTGTGAACCTCAACCACAGATCAGCGACGAATACGACGAAAGACATGTCCAGGAGCACGGTGAGAACCAATGAGTCGTTGATGCCACCCTGTGTTTCGTGCGAGCTGCCGGTTGAATGATGCGCTGCGTCCTGCATATCCCACAGTACGAGCACGGCATCCATAATCATCATCGCGGCCAGAGAAAACTCGAAACAATTACGCCTCACCAGCCTTGGTATGAAGTATTCAGCTCGTCTTGTAGGTTGTAAGGGGAATTAGGCTCGCCCTCCGTGTCAAGTTTCTCCCGTGTTTTCTGTCGTGCCTCGGGTTGTTCGTTTCCTCCGCCATGCTACGCTTCCAATTCGTAGCACACTCTGTCAAGAACGAGGTACGTTCCCTCTTCAACTTCTGCATCGAAACCGAAGTGTTCCTCCTGCACCCCGCGCTGCCCTCGCGCGCACTGGCACTCTTGCTGGCCAGCCCAGTGGACACCCTGAGGTGCCGATTCGACTCGATCTGGGCTGCTCCGCCCCAGTCCCTCTGGAATGCCAACGGGGTGAAAGCACGCGGCTGGGTCCGCATCAGTGGATCCCAGCGTCGGGCGGCTGGGCAGCCGAGACATGACGCCAACGGGACTCACGCGCCTGGCACATGTCCACCATGCCTCCGCGCGAGCTTGCTGATGGGCTGATGGAAGCGGGCCAGTAAAACTTGATATGTAGCGGGAATGCGGAGGAAGAGGAGCTCTGGGGGGGGGCGCGGCGCTAGCCCACCCGGCAGAAACACGACGCACATTGCTGGCTACATCCCGCAACTCTCCGTCTAAGGCCGCGTGCGCCCCTCCGCCCCTAGGATCGCCAGGCAAAGCTTGCTGCCAGGTGCACGGTCCGCAGGTCCAGGACTGGCTGGACCCGATCGCGCTACACGACCAACTCGCGTTTTCCTAGCTGCAGCACGGCACCCGTGCTAAAATTAAACGCACTTGCACTGGGAACTCTGCAGGGGGGGTAGGCGACACTGCTAAGGCTCACAAGTCTGCCCCCGCTTCCGGCAGGGCCCGCGACGACGTGGCAACGGGCAACACAAGCGTCGATGCGGGCGGTACGGCTGGCCACCCGCCGCACGGACAGCTCGCACATGGGGCAGGCAGAGCGGTCGAGGCAGTTCTTGCTGCAAGCTGGACCGAGATGCAGGTTGACGCAAGTCGCGCAGCGTGAAGTGTAGTTCCTTTCCGGGTTCGTGGGTCGATCCACGGCCCCAGGGTTCTCTTTGTGTAACTGCGTGTCCTAATGAATCGGTCAGGGTCGCCGCGGCCGCAAGGCCACGCACGAAAAGTAATAAGACGAAGATGGCAGGAAAGAGGAAGAAAAGGAGGAAGAGGAGGACAACAACGACGACGACAACGACGGGAAGAGGGGACGACCAGGAACGACAGACGGAGAGTTGGAGTGTGAGGGGGAGGGAGAAGGGGAGGGGGAGGAGAAAGAGAGGGGGAGGAGCATGGGAGTGGGACGAGGAGCGCGAGAAGGAAGGGGGAGGCCAAGGGAGAGGGGGAGGTGCAGGAGCCCGGATAAGGGCACGGGCAGAGGCAGGGACAAGAGCAAGGAATACAGGGCACATGAACGACAACGCCTGCGCCAAGCATACATCGAAAGCGATCCCGGCACGCATCGGCCGCCGAGCACCAAAAAGAAAAGCAGACACGGCGAAGGTGAAAGGCGGACGCCGACGAAGAGCGGGGGACGGAGAAGAGAGCGAGAGCAGGAAGGAAGACCAATCGGGGAGGTGAGCTCCCCCATCTCGGGGAGGCGAGCTACAGCCCCAGCACCCCCGTCAGAACGGCTCAGGACCGGCCCCGATGCCGGCCCCGAGCCGGAAGGCTCGGAAAGAGGCCGCGGGCCACCACAGGGCCCAAGGGGCGCCGTCACGGCGCAGGCTGGGACGCCACCGGCTGCAGAACGCCACGGACGCCACGAGACACCAAAATCACACGGCAACGAGGCGCCAGAAGAGGCCACACTCGATGCGGCGAGTGCACTCGCGCGAGTGCGACCGCTCGGCGACTGGTTCGCACGGCCGGGCTCGTCCAGGGCGCTGGGCGCGACAGTGGGTCCTCAGATATTGCGGTTCGCGCCGCACGACGCGCGAAACCGCAATAGCTTCGCGCGCCCATGCCCCCCCAAAGAGAAGGGTAATCGTCCAGCCAAGGCCGCGAAACGCGAAGCGCAGCGTTCTTGGCTTCCTGTAGGTGACCTGTTTTTTTCTCTCATACTTCCCCTTCGGGGAGATGTTCACTTCTCCCCCTACCCCCTGGCTCTGGTTTGAAGGGGTGGGCGCGACACGTCAATGGCCCCAGACGGCTCCAAAATTGCCCCAAAATAGCCAAAGATAGCTTCCAGGATCGCACAAGATAGCTCAAGATGGTTTTAAATATAGTTTCCCGCGCCCGAGAGGTTCCAAAACCGCCCCAAAATATTTCCAAGTGACAGAGCCTCCCAAACACCCCCCCCCCGAGAGGCCAAAGTCCCTCCAAAACCTCAAGTAAGTCAATGTGCATCGCCTTCTCGGCTTTTCGCTTCCGATGGGCTCTCGAGGCCTCTAGATGGCTCCAGGATGGCCCAAGAGAGCCCCAAGAGGGCCCAAGAGGGGCCCAAGGCGGCAATTCGTCCGCCTCCGACGCGGGAGGGGGGATTGAATTCTCCCCCCTGCTTTCTTTGATCGATGGCCTGCGACATGGCCCTGGGGGCGGCCACAAGGCGCCCAAAAAGGCCCCAAGAGAGCCATGGGCCCCAAGAGAGCCCCGAAGACCTCCGAAATGGCCCCAAGATGGCTTAAGTAAGCTGCCAACTGGCCACCATATCCCAAAATCCGCGAAGGAATGTATGCTCGACTCCTGGGCCTGCTCAGGCGGACTCAGACCTTCGTTTTGACGGCTGCCCCCTCTTTGCTCCACTGCGTGCTCCCGCATTTCCCGAATCAGCGCAAATCGTCTAAGCATCGTTGATGGGTGGGCTGGTGGGGGTACTTTTTCGTCGCGGCCGCAGGCGAGCGCGCCAGCAGCGTCAGAGGTCGGGCGGGCTACGCGCGAGCCTAATTGCCTAGCGCACGAGGACCGACGGCCGAACCTGAGCTGCCAAAGATGCCTAAGCTGTCGGGCTGCGCGAGGTGGTGCCAGGAAACGGGACAGGGCCCGAAACCTTGCCGGCGGACGATGCAAACTGCAACCAGGACCAGGATCCGGGGGCAGCGCCGATGCACACATTGAAACAACGAGCTATACGCAGCCAAACTGGCGCGGCAAGGTCACAGACAGCGAAGCTGACAAGTGACCGCTGAGGGCGCGTAGGACTTGACGTAGGATAAACCACACGAGACATCCATGCACCCAGCCCCTGACGGAGGCAGCTGGTCTGAAATGACTCTGGCAGGTCATATAGCATCCAACTCCACATCCAAGTCCATGTCGAAGGAATACGATAAGGGGAGTGGATGGATAGGATAGGATAAGATCGACGTAACGATCTTTCCAGCACAAAGCGAACACTAAGGTAAGTGTCCGGGCAAATAAGGCGCGCGTGCCTTGAGCCGAAGCAGCGGCGCGCAGGCTATACTCCCGATCCTCTATAACATCTCCCAAAGAGCTACCCTTAAAGTCGGGAGGGGAGGAGACGGAGAGCAAAGCCGCGCAGCCGCTAGGCTCTAGAAAGGCCGCGCGCACAACTGTTTGCAAGAAAAACAATACGCACAGTCTGGTCTACCACCAGACTGAAGGGCGAGATTATTCGCCGGCGAGTTTCCTCGCAAAACTTTTCCACGCACACACAGGATAGCCCCTGGGATATCCAAGGGCTATCGGCCCGGCTAGAGGTAAGCCAAACAGGCTATTCCCCTCCAGGCAAAAGGGCATTGAGGCAAAGAGCCTGAACCAATCTGAACAGGCTCGTTGCCAAGCGTGAAAAGTATGGCTCGTTTCCGAGCAGATAGGAGGGCGCCTCTGCATTAGGCGCCCGCGCTGGCAAACTGGGCCGCGGGGGCAACAAGGACAGACTAAAACTGATTCGACTTAGGTTTGTTTTTGTCCTCGGGGCCTCGAAAGGGAACAAACTGCCTCACGTCAGACTCAAATGACTGAGTGCCTGACATCACTTCCAAAAGCAGCTCCCGATCGATACTCCCCTTTGTATGCCCATCTGCGGTCATATCTCTAGTGTCACACCACTGCACGTTATGTACGATACCTATATCCATGAGCTCACGTATCCAGCTGATATGTCCCAGCAAAGTACGTTCCGTCGGTATAAGGTCTTTGCTGGATAGCGATTTGTATACAGACTCAGCGTCTATAGTAAGGGATACTTTGATAGCTAGGCCTCCAACTTCACGCATATCTCGCAGTTGTCGTGGAGTAAGTGCTCCGGCCTTGAGCTCGTGGAGAGTGAGGAGCGTGGGATAACACTCATCAAGATTATGTGCAGCTGCAAGTGCCTCAGCGGCATAGCTGGACCTCACCTGCAGTCGGTGTGATTTGCATAGTCCGTCGCAAAGGTGAACGACGGATTTGCCTTGAGGCGAGTTTCCTCGCCGTAATACGTTAGCCCCACGAATACCGTAGCCCTTAATTTCATCGCCCTCCTCCCCGGTGAGTTTCCGATACCCCGAATCACTGTGTGTGTCTACTTCATTCGTCGGTTTCATCCGTAGGAAGGTGATGCGTTTCGGGCTGCTGATCAGCTTTCGCGTCACAGCATTCGGTCGTCTGACTTGTAAGTTGGTGGGCTCTTGGATCTTCTGGAGACAGACCACATACACCATAAGCCAGACTTGAGTAAGAAGGCCATAGGCGAGAGCTCCTCGCAGGCAAACGAACACGTCGGTGATAAATTTGGTTGCTTTGGCGTCTGCCGCTGCTCCCGTAAGTTCAGGATGTGTGATAGGACGTAATTGTTCAATGTACTCGTCCTGGTCCAGGATCACATCCCCCTGTTCATTCTTCGTGTAGCGAACGGCGCAATTCGTGTAAGAATGTTTGTTGAGCTTGCATTTACCAAACACCTTTTCGACACGTTGTACATAGTCATCTACGTTTTTCTCTAGGTCTGTCATATTGATGTCGTCGACATGTTTTGCCGTTAAAAGATCCTGACTGAATTCAAACTCAGGATCGTAGCTTGTCGGTGTAAGGCCCATGGCTCGTGTAGTCGTACGAAGCTTAAGGGAGAACGCTCTTGGGGCGTCCTTTGTACCCGTTCCTGGCTTGAGGCACCTGAGGCAGTGTCGGCTTTCATCGTAAGACGAGAAGCCTGGTAGTGTACGAAGCACCTGGGCACTTCCTGGTGGAAGGGTGAAGCAAACCATGCGAGTTTCCTCGCCGGTGGCATGAGCAAGTTCCTCATATGTCAGTCCTCTGAGGAACGCTTTGTCGATGCCCATAGATGCTAAGATCCATTCTGGATGGCACGCCGCCTCACTTGCCAGAAGCCTCTGGGACAGTCTACGAGCAGTTCCTGAGAAGGTTTCTACATCGAAAGCCTCCGTGTCCATGAATCCGCGGAGGACAAGTCTAAGACGGATGGTTTTAACAT